AAAGTTCTGTTTTCTTTCATATCCTATTTCCATTTTTAAGTTGTGTGAATTATCTTTGTCTTAATGATTTCTTTGGATATGAACCTTTTACATGGTATATATGACAACTATTATTTCCTAGATAGTTTATTTAAAAATTTTTTTATGGTAGTATTTACTTTTATGATTTCTAACCTTGTATAAAGCTTGGAAAACCCAACTCCACCCTAAGATAGAATGGTAATCTTTTATATTTTCTTTTAATACTTTTGTGGGATGATTTTTTTACTTTTGTTATGGGAAATATCAAATATGCAAGAGTGAGGAAACTAGCACCCATCATTATTAAACAATCATCAATTCATGGCCACTCTTCTTTCTTTATTCTCTCTCTCCCCACTCCCCCTACTGGATTATTTTGAAGCAGATCTCACAGCATTATTATGTCATCCAGATATGTTCAGTATATATCTCTAAAAAATAAGGACTCTTTTTAAAACATGAAGTGGCTTAATTTTTTATATTTAAATCTTCAATTTATCTCAATTTTATTTTTGAGTATAGTATTATATTAACATTTCTAAACAGACAGTCATTTGTCCCCAAAACATTTATTGAATAATAAATGTCCATCCACAGTACATGGGCCTATTCAATACTGTTCTTTTCCAGTGGATTATTGTTTTATGTTTATTTTAGAATCCAGTGAGGCAGGTCTCCCCTCAAAATTTTGTTATCTGTTTTTTTTTCTTTTATTCTTCTAGGCAAGATCCAGAATCAGTTGATCAGATATATCCTTCCAAAAAAAAAAAAAATCTTGCTGGGATTTGAAAATATTTACATTAAATTTACAAGTAAATTTGGAGATTGTCAGCATTTTTCATAACAGAGTTTTCATATCCAGTAATATTGTATATATATTTATTCAAGTTTTATATTCCACAATGACAATAACAATGTTAATTAATATTTATGTACTATGTACCTGGCACTGTGCTAAATCCTTGACATTTATTGTCTTATAATCCTTAAAACAAACCTATAACATAGGTGGTATTATCCTTATTACGTGAATGCAACAGACATACCTTTAAGTGTTTAATCACTGCAGTGAAGGAAATGACAGTTGTCTTGGCTAGAACAGGTTTGTGGTTATAAGATAAATATAAAAAAGTAAAAGACTTTTCCAATTTGTAGCTGCAGGAAAATTTAAACAGGGACGAGAACTATGAAGTATTTAAGTTAAATTCAACAAGAAATGTGCAACACCTCTAAGGAAGAGAAGAGTGGATGGTTCTTTCAGAGCTTAAGGGTATGGCTGAAGTCAGGCTAGCTGAGTTCACATCTCAGTTCTACTACTTATTAGCTGTGTGACCTTGGACGTGTTATTTAACTTCTCAGTATCAGTTTTGGGATAGCTAGATATTGCCAACTTGTTCTTTGTTAATCTGTTGTACCCACCCCATCAGCAGTGTATGAGAGTGCTGTCTTTCTACATCTTCTCAGAAGCAATCTTTTTTTCTTTTTGACAGCTGGCTGGTTCAGAAGCAATCTTAAAGTGAGAAGGAAGCACAGAAATCATCAGGATCAGCCACCTTACTTGTCAGGACTGAGGCTCAGAAAGGGATAATGCTACACTCAGGGTCATACAGGGAGATAGTGACAGAGTCAGATCTGGAACCTAGACTTTCTAACTCCTAGTGTTCTTTTTGCTGACTGTAGAATTCATGAACTTATCAAACATTTAATGAGCATTTACTATGTGAGACTTTTGTGTTAGATGCTTAACATCTATGACATCATAAAATGCTTACCACTGTCTAACATAAATGTTTTTATCTCTTTATCTCCATTTTACACCTGAGAGAATAGAATCAGAGAAGTTAAGTAACTTTTCTAAGGTTACATACTAGAAAGTGGCAGGGGAAGATTAGAACTCAGTTCTGTCCCATACCTGAGCCCCATCTTCTTTATACCATATATTGTATTTGTGCATTTCAGGTGTTTTCCTTCTCTTGTTCATTATCCTTTCTAAAACTTCTTCCTTAATGTTCTGGAGTTGTTCACATTCCTCGTCCTGTTTTGACTTCCAGGCTAATCTCTGCTTTGTGGACATTGACAACCACTTCATTGAACTGCCAGAGGACTTGCCTCAGTTTCCCAACAAGTTGGAGTTTGTCCAGGAAGTCTCTGAGATTCTCATGGCATTTGGCATCCCCCCTGAAGGGAACCTTCATTGCAGTGAGAGTGCCTCCAAGCTGAAGAGGCTTCGGGCCTCTGAGCTTGTCTCCGACAAGAGGAATGGGAACATTGCTGGCTCCCCTTTGCATTCCTATGAACTCCTCAAGGAGAATGAAACTATTGCCCGGCTGCAAGCCTTGGTTAAGAGGACTGGGGTGAGCCTGGAAAAGGTAAGATGCTCTATATAAGTCTGTGACAAGTTTGGTCTGTGCTAGAGTGCTGTCCTGGTGAAGTAAGGTGTGAGATGAAAAAAGACCCAGTTCGAGACAAGGCATATTTATGAGCAGTGAAAGAATGCTCTGAATGGGAGACTCTGGATTCAGCTCTGGCAGATGTCATCCTAGTAAATGCTACCTGAATCTAAATCTAAGGAGACTCTGGATTCAGCTCTGGCAGATGTCATCCTAGTAAATGCTACCTGAATCTAAATCTGGGCAGCTTCTTACTTGGACGTCAAGGAGAGCCTACTGTCATTCTTTGTTAACACTATGGCAGAATGACTTGGAGGGATGATATAGTAATCCTATGAAGACCTCTTTCAGATCCATTGCCTTGTGAGTTTCACAGCAACCTAAGGCACATGGAGCAGGTATTGTTAACTGTTTCACAGCTAAAGAAACTGAAGTTTAGAGAGCCTAAGGATTAAATGACCAGTAAGTAGCTGAGCTGAGACTAGAATCCAGTTCTCTTGAATTCTAGGCTCTCTCCAGGGGTGTACTTAGCTTTTCATTTTCTGACTTTGATGAGACTGTCAGCTTTCTGTACTTGTTTACCCATCTCTTCATCCTTCTCATTCTCACTGTTAAATTACTTTGTAAGGTACGTGTAAACAAATGGGCCAGTGTAATAATTTTGTTGGGCTATGTTTTTGGTGAAGTGTGAAACATTTCATATTTCTTTATTTAGTCAGATATTTAAAAAAAAATCACCACAGAGAAATATTTAGGGAGATTAAAAAGGCTTCTTTTAGAGGCGAATCCCGAGGAAGAAAGATAAGGAAATGATGTGGGGGAGAAAATCAAAGAGATGAAGAGAGCCAGAGTCTGACCTTGTTGCTTTACATTATTACTTCTCATTGACTTCCCAGATTCCCTCCTTCTCCCTCACCCTTGTGATAATTACCACCCTTTCCTCTGGGGCTGAATCTTTCTCTACTCATAATGATCTTATTTCCACTTTCATTGAATTGCTAGATAACTTTAAGTGGAACTCTTTATCTCCCCTTTGCATCAGAATCCCTTCCTCTTTTTGTTTTTTCCCATTTTTTCCTCTTCTGTTTTCACCATTTGCTGCTAAAAAATTACTGGAAAAAATCAGATCTACATTTCTTTGGGATAAAAGGAAAAAGTGTATTCTCAATTGTTTCTTTTTTTGTAGCTGGAAGTGCGTGAAGACTCCAGCAGCAATAAGGATCTCAAAGTGCAGTGTGATGAAGAAGAACTCAGGATTTACCAACTAAATATTCAGATCCGGGAAGTTTTTGCTAATCGTTTTACTCAGATGTTTGCAGATTACGAGGTGTTTGTCATTCAGCCCAGTCAGGATAAGGAATCCTGGTTTACCAACAGGGAGCAGATGCAAAACTTTGATAAAGTGAGTGTAATCCTGCTGGGTAGATGGTGAGGAATGAGAATTTATCAGTTTACTCCTTGAAGAAGTAACTAAAAATGGATTTTTCTTTCATTATATTATATTCTTTGTTTCTGGAGACAAATTCATGGTCTTGCTGATGTTGCTAAAATAGAAGGTCTTGTTGCTTAAGAATTGATGTGATTATTAGTGTCAGTTGATTTACCTCCATCCAAAGGGCTCTCTTAAGGCAAAGATGCAAATGTAGATTGAACATCAGGATTCTGGGAAGATTGGTTGCCTTAGTACAAGTTTGGGCCAGGGTCAAAATTTCAATATATCTGAACTTATGAGTGTAAAAAAAAAAAAAAAAAAAAAAAGCAATGAAGGGATTTTGCAGTTTGCTTTTTGTAAATACCTAGGAAGCTCCAGAGAATTAGCCTACTAGATCCCTTGGGTCAGTTGCCTTGGCTGGTCAAGGCTTACATACCTTCTTCCCTCTTCCCTTTCAATGACTGCTTTTGTTTCCACCAGGCATCATTTCTGTCGGATCAGCCTGAGCCCTATCTACCCTTCCTGTCAAGATTCCTGGAGACCCAGATGTTTGCTTCTTTCATTGACAACAAAATCATGTGTCATGATGATGATGATAAAGACCCTGTGCTCCGGGTATTTGATTCCCGAGTAGATAAGATCAGGCTGCTGAATGTTCGGACTCCTACTCTTCGCACATCAATGTACCAGAAATGTACTACTGTGGATGAAGCAGGTAAGGGCTCCTTGGAGCTGTACATTCTAGCCTTTTGGATTATGTCACTTATATGTCCCTGTTCCTAAACATGCCAGCCTTTCCCCCCGTTTCTGTCTGTGCATGTTTTTCCCATTGCCTGCAATGTACTTCCTTGTTTTTTTTTTTTTGCCTGGCAAACTTCTTCTCTTCCTTTAATACTGTTTCAGTTAGGAATGGGTACAACTGCAAGTAATAGAGAACTTAATCAGCAGTAAGTTAAACAGTTAGGGTTTTTTTCCCCTCCTCAAGTTAACAAGAAGTGCAGAATTGGTGGTTGCTGGTATTGGCTCAGCTGCTCAACAATGTAATCAGAAACCAAGATTCTATCTTCTTATTCAGCCATCCTTAGCATTTTGGCTTTTATATTCATGTTGTTGCCTCATGGTTATAAGGGGTTGTTTATTTATTTATTTATTTTTGCTGGCCGGTACAGGATTGAACCTGGGACCTTAAAGTTATCAGCACCACGCTCTAACCAACTGAGCTAACCAGCCAGTCCTCAAGAGGCTTTTTATATTTACATTCAAGGCATGAAGAGGGGAAGCTTGATGCCAACTATATTTCCCCCCTTTTATCAGAAAGGAAAAACTTTCTCAGAAATTTCCAACATCTTCCATTAGATCATAGGTGAGAATCATGTTACATGACCAACTTTAAGTGCAATGGAGATTGTGAATGTGAACATCGAACTGGATGTAATGTTACCTTCAACAGAACTGAGGTTCTCTAAGCAAGAAAGAAGGGGTGAATCAATTATGAGTATGCAGTTGACAGTGTGTGTCACAAAAACATAACCAATATGTCTCTTTTGTGAAGCCTTCTCTGATGCCCCAGGCTGATTCAGTTTATTCCTCCTTTGCGTTCCTGTGGTGCTTTGTTCTTGCCGCCACTCTAAATCTATTCTTTTGAGCTATAATTATTAGGGAACAACTTAAGGGTAGAGACTGTATGTACTTATTTTCTTACTCCAATCTTCCAGCATTGTGCCTAGAACATATATGTGTTAAAATTTGTTGGCCACACAAATGATTGTTTTGAAGGCCTATCTGTTCAGAGAGGCCCATCTACATCAGTTTAGCTAAAGAATAGTCTCAGTCTGAAGTGTTAGATTACGTAGTGTGTTTTCTTTCTTGTTGTAGCCTTTTTGTATACTTTGATCATTTGTTTACGAGATATTATAATTACCTGCCATATGACCAGCATGTAGTTAGTGCTCAGCAAATATTTGCCAAATGAATGAACATGTCAGGCATTTTCCTAGGTTTTTTAATTGGGGTCTTTTAATTGAAGGTACAATTGTTAAGTTAGGACAAAGCCCTGCCTTCATTGACCTTATGTTTTCTAGCCTTCTGTCTTTACCTTTCAGTTCCTGTTCCATACCTTTCATTAAGATGACAGTCCTTTTGGCTAAGGCTTGAGGACACATTGCAAGTGGACTACTCTAACACAGTCATCCTTGCCTCCTGGAACACATTAGCTTTCACATTCCTGAACCCTGCCTAAAGCTTTGGACCTGGGCAGCTTGATAGAGATTTTTACAGGACTGTGAGTTTAGAGAACCAGATTCCAAACCATCATTTAAATCAGGACTTCCCAACCTTTTTCTTGTTGCACTGCATTTCAAAATGACAATATTTGTGTATTGTTACACTGGAGTAAAGGGAGGAGTATGCTTATAGCCAGAGGCTGTAAAGTCAGAGGCTCTAGTCACTCGAGGCACAACTGTTGAGGCAATCAATTCTTAGTCCATCTATAATCCTTTTGTTGAACACCGAATACCGCAGCATACTGATTTCAATTACTCTGGGCTCAGTTGTGGCCAGAATACGTAGTCTCCTGGGACTCTTAGAATGTGAGGTTTGGAATATGGAAGGAAGGGTTAACCAACCCTCATTTGTATGGCTCATTACATAAAAATAGATGTCACAGAGACCCTTCAGGCAACTATATGCTCTGCTCCCAGGAGTCACGGGAATGTTTTTGCCATTGGTATATCCCTTAGGTATGCACTAGAGATATGCACTTCAACTATGTTACAGCAAGGTTCTTCCCACTGGCCTCAGATCTCTAGTAATTCAGCCATCTCATCCTGCACGTAGACATCTCAGCTTCTCGAACCAGTTTGATTGGAAATGGTAATAACATAACTCAAGGGATCTTATTGGAGATCTTTTAAAATGTTAGAATTAGAAGGGATCCTGATGGCAATCTACTTTACCTACGCATTCATTTTACATATAAAGATGTTCCTTTGGTTCACCACTGTATCCACAGGCCTCGAATAGTGCCTGGTACATTTTGAACATTTAATAACTTCTATTAATTGAGAGTAAGGGTGGAGGAAAGTGAGGGAGGCCCAACGAGAAGGTGACACAGCAAGGCCCGCAGGTTGAGATGTTTTTACATGACTGTAGAAAATAACAGGAGAGTTACCAACTTTTTTGTTTTTACTCTTTAAATTTTTTGACATATAATTGACACACCATAAACTGCATGTATTTATTTAAAGTGTTTGCCAACTTTAGGTGTATATGAAAGGTAAAACCCTGGCCCGAGCGCAAGATAAGACACACCAGGAGACAGGGACTCAACCAAAGTGTATTAGGCAGGCAAAATGAACAAGCGGGCCGCCCTCTCGAAAGTGGGAGCAACAGCAGGGAGAGTCGGGTGGGCCTTTTATATCCAGTTAGGCTCAGCTGGACTGTTCCTATTGGCTAAGAAGGAAGGGGAGGGAAGCGAGTGGGGTTTAAACTGAGCTGGGACTTTCTCATAGGCAGGCAAAATTGCGCATGCAGGAAGGTGACGTGGCAGCTAGGGGATTTTTCTGGGAAACTTTCTCAGGTGTCATTTTGTGTATCTCAGTCTTTAACGCTATTTTACTTTTCTGGCGGAGGGTATATTAGCCAATAGTGTATACTCAAATCAAGAATTTGTGAACATATACTCACATCAGGAATTAGTGAACATACCCATCACCCTCAAAAATGTTCTCATACTGCTTTGTAATACCTCCATCCTGTCCCCTCCCTACTGTCTCCTCCAGTCCCCTGGTAACCACTGATAGAATTTCTGTTACCATAGACTTTTCCTTTTCTAGAATTTGATATAAATAGAAACATACGGTATGTATTCTTTTTTTAGTCTGGCTTCTTTTAGTCAGCATGATTATTTTGAGATTCATTTGTGTTCTTTTTTTTTGCTGAGTAGTATTCCATTGTTACCACAGATTATCTATTTACCTTTGGGTGGGCATTTTGACTATGCACATTTGTGTACAAATTTTTGTATACATGTTTTCTTTTCCCTTGGGTAAAATATCTAGGAGTGGAATGACCAGATCATATAGTATCTGTATGTTAAATTTTTTAAGAAACTGCCAAACTGTTTTCCAAAGTTGTGCTGTTTTACATTCCCACTAGCAGCCTATGAGAGTTCCTGTTCCTCTACATTAGTGTCAGCACTTAGTATGGGCAGTCTTTCCAATTTTAGCCATTCTAATACGTGTGAGGTCGTATCTTATTGTGACTTTGATTCTAATGACTAATGATGTTAAACGTTTTTTTCAACTGTTTATTTGCCATTGATGTATCTTCTCTGTTGAAGTCTCTATTCAAATCTTTGTTTCATTTTTTTTTTCTATTTAATTTTAATTTTAACATTTACTTGTGCATATATGTGGGATACAGTGTATTGTTTCAATACATGCATATACTGCACAATTATTCACCTAGGGTAGGTAGCATAGTTTTGCACCCATTAGTCCACTCCTTCCCTCCCTCCCTTTCCTTCCTTCCTCCCTCCCTCCCTCCCTCCCTCCCTTCGTCCCTTCCTTCCTTCCTTCCTTTCTGTCCTCTCCGTCCTCTCCTTCCTCTGGCTAGAACCTCTAGTACAATGTTGAATAGAAGTGGGGAGAGTGGACATCTTGTCTTATTCCTGATTTTAGGAGGAAAGCATTCACCATTAAGTATTATGATAGCTGTAGGTTTTTCATAGATACAGATCCCCTTTATCTCTTGAGGAGGTTCCTTTTTGTTACTAGTTTGCTGAGAGTTTTTATCAGAATTGGATGTTGGGTATCATCAAATGCTTTTTCTGTCTCTAGTGAGGTAATTAGTTTTAGTTTGTTAATATGCTAAATTACATTGATTTTTGAATGTGCAAGCCGATCTTCCATCCTTGAGGTAAACCCTACTTAGTTATGATGTATTATCCTTTTTATATACTGTTGGATTCGATTTACTAAATTTTTGTTTAGAATTTTTATCTGTGTTCATGGGGGATATTGGTTTGTAGTTTTCTTGTAATATCTTTGTTTGATTTGGTATCAAGATGATGTTGGCCTCATAGAATAATTTGGGAAGTTCTCTCCTCTTTAGTTTGCTGGAAGAGCTGTGTAAGTGATGTTATTGCTTTGTTTGGTAGGATTTACCAGTGAAGCCACTTGGGTCTGGAGTTTTCTTTGTGGGAAGGCTTTTATCTACAGATTCAATTTTAAAAATAGATACAGGGCTATTTAGGTTATCCATTTCCTCTTGAATGGATTTTGGCAGTTTGTGTCTTTCAAAGAATTTGTTAATTTCATCTGTTGTCAAATTTGTTGTCAGCTTGTTCATAATATTCTCTTATTAATATCTGTACAATCTGTAGCACTGTCACCTCTCTTATTCTTCACACTGGTAATTTGTCTTCTCTTATTTCATTTTGGTTAGTTTGGCTAGAAGCGCATCAATTTTACTGATCTTCTAAAAGATCCAGTTTTTGGATTCATTAATTTCCTGATTGCTCTGTCATTGATTTTACTCTGGTCTTTATTTCCTTTATTGTACTTACTTTGGATTTAACTTCCTCTTCTCTTTTCTAATTTGGTAAGGTAGAAGCTGAAGTTATTAGTTTGAAACCTTTCTTCCCTTCTAAGATAGGTGTGTAGTGCTAATAAGTCTTTTTCCAAATAATGGTTAATGACATTCCACAAATTCTGCTATTCTTGGTTTTCTCTTTCATTCAGTTTGAAATAGTTTATTTCCCTTTTGATTTCTTCTTGAACCGATGGGTTATTCAGAAATGTGTTATTTACTTTTAAGGTATTGTTATTGATTATTGTAGTCAGAAGACATGCTTTGTATGACTCAAATTATTCTAAATTTATTGAGGCTTGTTTTATGGCCTAGAATATGGTATATCTTTGAAAATATCCCATGTACATTTAAAAAGATACCTTTTGTACTTTTGTTAATGCAATTTTAAATATCGGGTGAGTTGAATGATGGTGTTCAAGTTTTCTATATCCTTAGTGATTTTGTGTCTACTTGTTCTATCAGTTACTGAGAGAGGGGTATTGAAATCTCTGAGTATAATGGTGGATTTGTCTATTTCTCCTTTCAGTTCTGTTATCAGGTACATAAATGTTTAGGACTGTTTTGCCTTCTTTATTAATTAACCCTTTTTAAATTTTCTTTGCTTTTTAATTTTTTATTTTAATTTTCTATTTTAAAAT